ACATATAAAACATAAGATAAAATAGAAACAGAATAAAATATAGATACAATTTTTAAAAATTCAAAAAAAAATTCACAATATCATCACTCCAAGATTAGGAGATCTTATGCCTTTTTATTGAAATCCCTGCAGAATTTAGCAGAAACTTAGCAACTCTATTGGTGATGGAAGGGTTCTGATCTGCAAGCAGGAAGCAAACTTCCTCTCCCTCATGACAGATTTGCTTTTGTTAGGAGGGAGTAAAGGCATGTCTACCCAAAAATTAATGTAGAAAGGGCAGTGGGAAAATACAGGAGATAAGGTTTCAGGTTCATTCAGACCACAAGGATAGCATCATTCAGTGAGTTGGAAGTGAATGAATAACAGCAACATGTGAGCAAAATCATCCAATCAGCAGCAGGATGAATCTACTATCCTTGTCTCTCATGTTCACTCCTACACTCTTTGTAACAACAATTACCAAAAAATGCAACCAGAGATATACACTGCATTCGCTTATACAGAATAGCACATTTGCTTTCTTCTTCTAGTAATAATGAGGGATTGAGGCTTGCATATAAATCTAGAATCTGTCATGTAAATCTCATGCTATTGTTTCTATTTACCTATTTCCTCATTATATACTTAAGTATTGCAAGAACAGCTTTGAAGTATTTGGGGAACAATACTTTTTCATGGACAAAGCTCCCTTATTTATTATTCTAACCAGTGTAGTACAGCTGCAAAACATTTTTATTCACTAACTACATTATCCTGTTTGCAAGAGTGGGAAAAACAGATGGCTCTTCTCTTTATGCTTTGATTTTTAGCCATTTGAAATTCTTTCATCATTAATTATACACAAGATATCTGTAAAACTAGCACAAGTTAAAGAAAAGAACATTAATGGAAATCAAAACATTCTGAACAGCTGCAGGGAAAAAAGTGAGGAGGGAAAGTGTCAAGGAAAAGTAAAGAAACTGCCATTTTGAACAGTATCTGTTGTGTATTCTGTCCCCGATGTATATCATTTCCTGTTCATCATCAGTAAAAACAGGAGGTACATTTTACAGATTGGTCTGTTTTGCATATCTAGAGATGTGTATGGTTTTAATTCTGGGTTCTAGGCAGCAGTGGCCACATTTGGGAGAGGAAAAGGTCATGCACAGTTTAACAGCACTAGCAAGGAGCCTCCCCCACCCCATCACCTCCTCCTAAAACCATTTACCATTCATGTGAAGCTATAGGAATGCTTTTCAGTCCAAGATAAGAACTGCAAGAACATCCACTGAGAAAGTAAAATCTAATCTGTTTTAATACCAGTTGCTGATCATTAACTGAGCTTGGAACTGTGTGGTTTTTATGCCTGACACAGATGAAGGCTGCTAAACAACATCTTTTAGAAGAAAGAAAGAAAGAAAGAAAGAAAGAAAGAAAGAAAGAAAGAAAGAAAGAAAGA